ATGCCTCCTCTTCTCCAGCCTAACTAACCTCACCTTCACCATCTTCTCTGCTCAGGGAAGCTCCCCTCTAGCTCTCAACCACTTTAGCAGTCCTATGCTGCACTTGCTACAGTTTATTGATGGTTTTATTGGATTAAGTGTCCCAAAAGCAAGTGCAGTACTCCAAATGTAATCTAACACACACTCAATAAAAAAATGTTAATCACCTTCAACAAGCTGGCTGTAATGCTGTTTACAATCCACAAGCCACCAACCTTCATTGATACAAAGACACACTGCTGGCTAATTTTTGCCCAGATTGTCCAGGTTCCTTTCAGCAGTTTCCCCAGGGCCTCTTATCAATGCAGGGAGTTCATGTGCCCCAAGTGCAAGATCCCTCATTCTTCTGTTGAATTTGCTGAGGCTCCTGACAAACAATCCCTCTGTTTAACACGCAATTTACACGACTTATTCAAGTCACAAGCATGAGCTTCTCATCATCATATCAGAAGATAATCCTAGAGGTAGAGCTGAATGTGTAAAACAGGATTAAGTGTAGATAGGATGAAGCAGCGCGATGCACAGCTCGCCTCTTTGGCCTTTTCTCATTATATCATTAAGACCTTCCTCAACATTCAGATTCACAGCAACTCGCACACTGGAGGTCTCTACACAAATAGGTCTCGTTTCTGAGAAACTTGGCCCAAACAAAAAAACATAACCCTCTCACTTAAAATAAAACAAAATAAACACTCCTGAACAACTTCTCCAAGGTTCTTTATTAAAATTATTACTATCATTCACAAACTTGTGCATTTCCCTTTGAGTCTTCGTCAGTACCTATACACTACACAACTGCAATGCTTGTCTTCTGGAACCACTTGTGATTTCCATACATAAGTGGCACTGTAAAGTCAGGAAGAGGTTAAGGTATAGTCATACAAAATGGATTTGGCAAGAAAGAGGCAGAAACACTGCATTTCAAATGAAGAATATGACTTTCAGCACACGACCAGGCTACAACATCAGCTTTTTTTTTTTAGGCAACAAAGGAAGCACACAACTAGATGTTCCTTATCTGGGCAAACCAAGCATTATAATTACAAGAAAACAGAAAGGAATAAGGGTATCATTTCTCAGCGCAGAGTGGGATTTGGTAAAGGATGAATTGGTGTCCTCTAGGAATCTGGATATGCCTTTTTTCCCTCAGTTACAAAAGAATTATAAACGTGCCGGGAAGGAAACAGTTATTCCATCCTGTTCTGTAGCTGAACCATGAATCAAGATCCGAGGTATCAATTTACCCTCAGGAATCTTTTGTTGCACAAGTTAATTTACCTTTCCTCCTATGTAAACCTGGTGTCACCTTACTGTTTAATATTGAAAGTTATTGACAAAGGAAACGCTGATTCATGAAATAGAGATTTTGTTCTAATGTATTCATGTGAAAACAAATGAGCCTGTGCCATTGCATGGTTCTTCTTCTTGCTCACATTTCATTTCAGCCCTGTCAGAATTTCCAATAGGGTGAGTGAATCCTGAACAAATTCTGCAGCGAGTTCTCAGTCATGGGCCAATGAATTGGATTTTAAAGAAAAGCTTCATCCTTAGTGCACTAAGAACTGCCCTTGGAGTGTAAAAGGACACTAACTCAGTGTGTAGCAAAGCTCTCTCTGAAATTGGAGGGCAGCGTGGATAGAACAGGCTGCCCAGTGCAGTGAGCACAGCCCTGAGTGCCAGAGCTCACAGAGCATTGGGACACTGCTCTCAGACCCAGGGCATGATTTTTGGGAGCTCCTCTGTGAAGCCAGGGGTTGGACTCAAGGATCCCTGTGAGTCCCTTCCAGCTCAGGATATGCTGTGGTTTTGTGACACGGCACATCCTGCTCTATATTTGCTGCATCAAAATCCTGATGGAGATTTATATTCTAATGCAGCGCTATTTATCTTCACTATTCGTACACCTGTAGCAGCTTGATTGCCCAGGCTGCCCCCCTGAAACCAATCAGCTCCTGCAATATGGTGTTATATGGGCAGAGGATTGTTCTGGAAGTCTGGTTATCCCCTAATGGCAAGAAGACACACTGGAAGAAGCATCTGAAAACGCCTGTGTAAAAGCATATTCAAAAATCTTTCACAAGAGAAGGCCTAGCAGTGCCAGCCTCAAAACCACAGCACATCTCCCATCAGGCAAAGATCATCATAAACCAGAAACTGCTCATCCACTGCAAGCAGGCACTCAGCATCGCCCTCTCCAAGGATCCCAGCAGGATATATTCAGTGTTACAGGCTGAACTGTGCCCCAGCTCTGCAACATGGCACTGCCATGTGTGCTTGGCTTACCCGCAGCTGCAGCAGGTCAGCTCACAAGCCTACCCTTGCTCACAGTGTCCCACAAGGGACTGCCACAGAGCATATGGAAGAGCATGGAGAACAACCTGGAATAATCTAGTTCTGGTAGTAGAAGATACACTTCAATTATTTTGGACGTTTTAATCCTACAGGGAGATAAATCATCTGAAACCTGCATTCTCCTCTCTAGCTACTAGTATTTTAAGTTAGCATTACAGAAGCCGCTGAGCATTTATTCAGGTGAACTCATGTACGTAATGGAGTTGCCTTAAGTAACTCTCCCCTGCTTCTGAGCCTCCTGTGACTACGCTGCCTAAAGTTCACTTTTATCCTTGTCTGATGATCACAGCTGGGCAGGAGTTGTAAAACTTCAGACTAGAAGGCCTTGCAGCCTCCACCAGACACTGCTGGCAGGCCAAACAAAGAGAAAAAGCAGCAAGAGGTTTACTGTAGCACTGGTATTTTCCTAGCTCTTATCGAGCAAAGCTTTTAATCTGATGTATTACATTTAATGAAGAGTCAGGAACTTGCACTGCAAGTAACAGATCAGATATAATTGGAATTTGTTCCACACCACTGGCCTCCATATATCAATAAAAACAATAACCACATTGGATTTTAGGCTCACTTCATTTGCATTTCTTAATTTAGTGTTTAACTAATTTAACAGTAGTAACGATTTAATTCAAATTAAAACCTAAGGAAAATAAAACAATTTTTAAAAGCCATTAAAGATTTCATTAAGTTCCATCTAAATTAATATTAACTTTCTTAGCGTTTTCTATAAATGTGTTTTTCTTCTTGCCACTGAAACAAACATGAAGTTTGCAGTCAAGCTTTAGACAAACCTTATTAGATTTACTGGTATTATTTTAAGTAATTAATTAATATACATTAGAGTCACTCAGAAGAAAAGCACAAAAAAGGCAGGAAAATGGATGAAGTTGTTTTTCAAAACACAGCATTCAGCTCAGTAATTGATCTTTGGTCTTTTACGTGGAGCTCTTAGGTATACACCATCCATTAGACCACATTTCCCACACATTTGTGAATTACTCCTAAGCATCAAACGCACAGGAGTTACTGAAGCCACGCTGGTTTTGCAAGACATCTTTCTGCATCTCCACATGTAGCAGTCATTTGCACATGAGTGGCTTTTCAGACAAAAGAAATCATTTCTTACTAAAAGGTTTCAGTTCCTTACATCTCCAATTCTGCCTCCCAGCCTCTAAGTGATACAGAAAAGTTATTTCTATAATACAGGTGCTACTACTATAGGTAGATATAGCACATAAATATAAGCTTTCCTGTTTTAACCAGTAGAATATAATCATCTTCAGTCCTCAACATATTTTTGCTCTTGCAGCCTCCAGGAACCCTCAGCTGATTCTACTGGGCACATGCCAATGATCTACCAGGAAGGATGTATGGAGAAGGTAGGTACAAAACTTAAACTGAGGTCTCTTTAAACTGGAGCTGCTCACTCTATCAGATTAGTCCCTTGGTTAAAGCAGAAACAAATAGTTAAATATTTAAGCCTTCAAAGAGCTTCCTAATTTCCAAACATAGAGTTAGAAGTTAGAGTCCTGCACGCCTTCTTTCCCATGAGTAACCATTATTCACACAAATGGCAACACTGAAATCAACAGGAATGTTCCAGCAGTGATGTTCATACGTAACAGCTTAGCTAACACTTAAAATTTGCACCGAACTGCACTGCAGCTCATAGCAGCAACAGTAGTTGAAAGAATTTATGAATACCTTTAATTTATGAAGGTTAAAACAAAAATGAGAAGCCATTGGGTCCTGAGTACTGCCAATTTATTTAAAAACCACACTTCTACCTTTGCAAGTAGATATTCCAGCAGTTTTTTATTCTAACGTGCAAAGCTTCAAAAACAATGGCTTCAGAGACTCACCTGCATTTCAGGTACCAGGCTTTTGCATTCAAAGACAAAATTCAGTCTGTAGTACAAAGCTTTTTATCATTTATCACTCTGAGGCCTAAGTGTTCACTTACAGGTAAACTAAAGACATCTAAGTGGAAGTGCACTTAATTTGAAGAGATTACTCAAGTAGCTCTCCACTTGTACACTTGTATTACTGTTATAATTAGAACTACTTCAAAACAACAAAAAGTTCAATTTTGACCACAATAAACACAGAGGAAAAAGATCAAAAGCACCTCAGCTGAAGAGGGTGAATGCTTAAAAAAAAAAAGAAATCCTTTAAAATCCTTCTAGCTCTGTGACCAATGACCACCTTCATTCCAATGCTACTTAGAGGGCTGCAACTACACAGAGTAATGTATGATTTTATTTCCTGCTATTTTTAATGCTTTAAGTAGCCATTGAGAAGAGCGAAACACATTACTGATTTGTAACAATGCTGAGTGCCCTCCAGCTTTCCATAATTACCACTTCCTGAGATGCAAGCATGCAAATTGCTATGTACAGATAAATATTGACATTTACATGTTAGCTAACAGATGCTAATATTGAAGAGGGAAAGAACCGAGTAGCCCTATGCTGTATAAAAATGAGGAGGAAAGCAGAGAGAGGTGCTAGAATAGAGTCTTCAGAGTCTTCCTCCAGCACATGAATACCTCTTTGTAGCAACACTGAAGAGCAGACCATTGGGTACACAGCATGCAGTCCTGTGAAGAGCAAGTCCAAGAGCTATAGGTTTCACGGAGAGGGAAACACCACCCTCTCAACCTGCCTAGAAACCAAACTGTATACTGAGAAAGCCACACTTTCTCCCTGTCCACTGATCAAAGGTCTAGGCCTCAGCACACTAACTTTGGCTTGTGTTTTTAGTCAATCAAACACATGCTGTCCATTTTGCATGAAGTAAAATGAGTACAGGGCCTAGTGTGAGCAAAATATGATCCTAAACCTTCTACCAATAAACCCCATATCTGAGCTGTAACAAAAGTCTGCTAAATACAGAACACAAGAAGCCCCTGAAGAAAGGTACTGTCAATGACAGTGTATTTAGATAAGTACACCAAAACTTTGGCTACCAAATTTAGGCTAACAAAATCTAATGTTCAGCTCAGTTCCTTTGCTGTCCAAAATACTGCTGTCATTTGATACTACATGAGCATGCACTGTTTAGTTTTGCTACCTTCGGTGATTTCGGTGCCTCGTAAGACGAAAGAATTACATCTCTGCATGCAAAACAGCTTCCAGTGAAGCTTTCCAGATGGAGCATTCAGCTCAGTTCAATTCCTATGCTGCTGTTCCTTTCACTTAGTGTTACTGCAAAAACAGAAGTACAAAAGCATGCGGATTTATATTTTAATACAGTACTAGCTGATTCCTACAATCCAGAGGTAGTTGAACTTTCATCTGCCAAAACTTCTGGAAATTACACATCTCAAAAGAATCAACAACATTCCAAAACAATCAGATAAGCACACCCAGAGATGTGGTGTAATAGTAAGAAGTTAGTGAAGTCATACTTCACTAACATTTCAGATTAAGGTTAACGGGTGCATTTAAATGCAGGAGTTATCCCCTAAAAATACCTATTTCATTGCAAGGCACTATCAAATACAAAACCATCACAAATCCACCCTCTCTTTACATATATACTTCTATTTTTATTTCAAATTTCTAGATCATATCGATAAATTTCTGAAAGCTTATTAAGCCTCAAGTATTGTCAGATGGAAAAGAAATACTTTAAAACCAACAGCAGTGGTTGAGAAGTGGTCATTTTTAAACTCACTCTCTCCTTGAGTAGGAACTGATGTACAATGCTCGGCAGGTACTCCTGAGTTTAGTTTTAGTTTCAAATCTGTTTAATGCTGTACAACCATTTTAAGTGCAGTAGGATAATACTGTAGGATAATAATAGGATATTTTAAGGATAGAACATTTTTTTTTCATGTTACTTTACCTATTCTTTAGATTTTCCAGGTAGGAAGAACATAGAACTGTTGAGCTGAAGAACAAAGAGAAATGATATCACTGTCCAGAAGCTGGGATTAGGAATTTCACGTAACCTAGTACATTCAACACTGTGGATCCTCTAATCTCACACCTTTCCACCCATCCAATCCTTCTACTTTGAGTCAGCCCAGTTACTGATCCCAAACCTCAGTCTCCACATGCAAGCTAAAAACTGTTCTGCTGTTACTTTTTAAAAGTTCTTTCTTTGACATGAGTAAGTGCTGCACTCAAAGCCTATTTTAATGAACTTCCCATCCTTTGTCATCTTTACACTTGGACTAAACTGACACAGTGAAAGCCCTGGGGCTGAGATGTGTCGTTTTATGTGTGCTATGCATCCCTCTGCCTGTGCATAGATTAGATGCAACATATACAGGCTAAAAATGTTGTAATTTAAAGGTGGAAAAAGAAAACCTTTCAAATGCATTTTTAGGAACCACAGGCCAGAAATAAGGAAGAAAAGCTGCCCAAATTCCTTCCTGTAGAGAATTAGTTATCCAGTAAGCTACAAAATTCCACTGTCCAAAGAAACATGAACTTGTTTTCACTTACACAAGAAATGCAAAGGGTTGTGTTGCTTTTTTCTTGAAATCATTTCAGTAAGCACTGAGTAGCTGCCATCCAGAAACCAAAGTCTGGATGGAACTAAAGCTTTAGACAGCCAAAGCAGTTTTGAAAGCAGGTTAAACCTGTCTTACCTATCTTACACAACAAACAATCTCACAGCTAAAAATCACAGTACAGGCAAATAGAGCAGGTAGGGAAAGAATGATTTATCTAGTAGAACCCCTGTTAACACTGAAACACTCAAGTGTGGGTTGATGCAACTGAAAGCAGTGAGACATTTAGTGCTCAGAGCTGATGCATAATGTGAGCTGTGCTATGGAAGCCGAATCACCTTAAACCAGAAAAAAAAGAGACAGCTGGAGGGTCTATGGAACCTTGGGAGAGCTGATTGGAGTTCACTAACAGGCCTGTCACATTTGAGCAAGAAAAATGAAAATCCAGAAAGACTGAGATTTAAAGAGGAAGAGAGTTTTAAAATAATAAATATCCAATATATGACTAAGCATTAACTAAGGTAAGTGTAGGATTTTACAAGCAGCAGCATCATCAAAACAGAAGATCATCACCACTATTGGTATAAATATATACCCAGCTATATGTATGCACATGAACAAATCAGCTAAGCTTCCTAACAATGGCATCTTCTACAGATTCATATTTTTGAGACATAAATGGATGATTCTAATCCTTCAAGTTAACTCTTCAATAACATAAGCAATCCCTTTAGTAAAAAACAAAACAGGTTTTTTTAGAGGGAAAATTTTCATTATCTTGTTCTTAAAACTGTCAGCACTAATAGATCCACTACACCTCTGTCAAATGCTGCATTGTTTGATTTCAATCTCTATTAACAATCTGCACCTTGCTCATCATTTGATGTTTGTCTACCTCCAACTTCTAGTTACTGAACCATAATATTAGTGCCTATAAGAGAGTCCTATACAGTCAGTTTTCCTTTTCCCAAGAAGGTACTTACAGACTGCAATCATGTCGTTCCTTTGCTAATATAAAGAGATTTCAAACTATACATCAGTCTCAAAAAGAAGCAATAGAAGGAGATTTATCAGATAACCCAACTGATCACTAAATCCCTGGCTTCCAGAGATCCATAAGCTCTAACAAAATCAGGCAACTGACAGCCTGTTTTTCTGAGCACTGCTTGAATAGCACATCTACAATTATAAACAGTCTCTCCTAACATAGGGCACAGGAATTGAACCATTTAAATAGTTGGTCTTTTGCTGACCAAACGTTAAAAGTGATTGTTCAAACAATGACAACGTTTTATCATTGTGTCAAGAAAGAAAGACAGATAGCACCCCTTCCAACCTTTTTATTAACTCTTGAGATTTTCCTATCTTCACTGTGTTTCCTGTGTATGTATAACAACAATAAAACAAAATAAAAGCAAGACAATAGCCACCGCATGAAAAAGCCGAGAGCACGTAAGCAGCTTCCTTATAGCACATTAGGTCATTTCCTTCAGAGACATTTCATCCACTCCTTTTAAAAATCAGTTATACTAATACTGTACTCTCCTGAGCCAAGTAATAATAAAAAGGCCCTCTTGCAAAATACTTGGTCAGGGAATTGGTAATGAGTTAACCAACCTTCCACTCCAGACCACTGACTTAAAACCAAGCCTTGCTTGATCGTGCCTAAAAGGCTCTGCTACGTGATGCAAGTCTGATGATCTGTAGGAAATAAAAGGGGCTGCTATTCTTGGCAAGGTCATGCCCATCTCACACTGGCACTCTTATCAGTCTGAAGTTTCATCAGAAAATACAAATATCCTCTACAGCAGAATCACTGACTTATCTGGGAGGAAGATCCTGCCTTTGATGAATACGAAAGTACTTCAAGACAACACTTCTCCCTCACAACATCCAGGCTAAAGATGCAGTGGCATAGGTATTTTGTGTTCTGTTTGTCCCACATATTTCACAGTTTTTCTGCATGTTCCAATCCAAGCATTACCACAACTTACCACTGTTTTAAACTTTATCCTCCTCTTATTTTTCCAACCGTTTTCACTCACTTTCTGGAGCAAAAAAGCTCTAACAACAGCATCACCTTCATGCTGCCGAAACACCACCAGCACTCTTAGCAGCAAACAGCAAGAGACAAGCATAAAGCCAGCACAACATTTTAGTATTGATTTCTCTAGGAAATTTAAATCCCGCAGGGCATAAACATCAATTTAATCTGTATGCAACTACAAAATGGCTTCGCTCCTTGTTTCAGGCAAAACACTGCTACAACTCGAGTAGAAACATACTCAGTTGTGAGGACAGACAGACTGAACAAGCACCCCAAAGCTGCCAGTAATTAGCAACAGAGTTGGAGGCTACAATTGTAGAATCCAGGCAAAGACGATCACCAGCCTAACACAAAACTATTGCTGAGTGCCTCAACCAGTGGCATCTCATCTTGCCAAACTGGAAAGCAACCTACCATCAAGACAACCACCACTGTGCTGCAAAGTGACAGCCTCACACCTCACCTTCAGGCTGCCTTGCCTCCACATGACAACATGAACAATGAAACAACAGCTCCACGTACTAATTGCTGTTTTCTGAGCTGCCCTCGCTCCACCAGGCTGCTTTCCCTGCAGACAAAGAGCCACATGTTACTGCTACCCTCAACCAGCAGCAATGAGCACCTGATGAAAATACCTCCTGAAAAAACAGAAAGGCAAACTCCATGTTGCTACATTTATGTAATCTTAGGCTGAGTTCTTTAAAGTGAAAACACCTGTTTTCTAATTACTGAAAACTCAGGCCCAGTGTGCTCTGAAATTTCCTTGTTTTCCCAGCCAAGCACTTAAACTGCTGTTTTGTTTAAGGATGCATCCTGTTGTATATTGAATGAGAAAGATGCATTTTCACACTTGACACACCAGTAACATATGGCATTTAAGAAAAAAAAAAAAAAAAAAAAGGCTCCTTCTTAGTACAGTGCAAAAAACACAGACATGTCTGTGTCACCCCAGCCAATACATAATCACCAAGTAGTGTCAGCAGAATTCAGGGCACCAGCATTGTTTGCAAGTGATGGATTTATGTACGTAACAAACTGTAAATTACTTAATAAATACAGATGCAGGATTTTATGGACAATGCGTTTGCTTGCAAAACTTGGCACCTTCTATCCATCTCCCCCTGCTGATGACAGTTGGGTGGCAGAATCAGATTGCTGAAGGTATAAAAATGTAATACAATCAGCACAGTGGGCAGCTACAGTGTTAAGAAGCCACTAGCAGGTAAAACAACGTGAATGCCGAGCCCTGCACAAAAGCCAACAGCTTCAAGACAACCCCCTACTCCAGATAATTATCCTACCTGCAAGGCAGGGTTAATTGCTGCTGCAGCTTCACAGCTCTACCATATCTGACCTCATATCTACATACAGACTGCTCAGATTGCCATCAACATACCAGCACATCATTTAAGTATCTGTTGTTTGTACGTGTAACCAATGCCAGAACCCCAACTTTTGTACTGTTTTCCTTCAGCATACATCACATACACCTCTGTAGTATTTACTTCACTGACTGGTGACCAGGGAAGAAGATTTTCTCCCAAGAATCATTAGTTTTGCAGGTGTTCACCAGAACAAGTTCACTGGGTGCAAGCAAGGACAACCATAATGTTCTCCAGCCCAGCGTCAATATGAATTTTCAGGAGTCAGGAGTAGAATCAACACTGACGTGATCATCAAGATTATTAAAGTATGTCAGTGGCTCAGAGTGATCTGCCACTGCAGTTTTATAGCTGCTGTGATCACCTGTGTCACTGAGCTGCAGACATTGTCATCTCTCTGTGAAGTTGCCATGGTTTTAACTAAAGAAACGTGTACGTTCCTTATTACAAAAGGTTCCCAAAACAGCCAACAAGCACAGCTATATGATCAGCATCTGAACTCCAGTTGTGAGCTTGGCTTTCAAAAGAGGATGGCTGCAAGCAGAAAAAGGATGTGACAAAAAAGATGTTTACGATACAATCAAAATCCAGGAAAATAAAAGCATAACAGCAAACCTTCAACTTATCTGCATGGATCTCTGAATGAGAGGATGTAAACAACAGGCACAGACCAAACTTCACTTGTTTGTTTCTAGATCACAACACTCTATCCAACCCTTAAGCAAAACAGGATACAGGGTGTTACTGAATGATTTCCCCTGAAATCTGATTGAGAAAGATTAGAGCAATTGGAGCACAGTGACACACACTTTTAAATCCCTCAAATCACAACTAATGTAAGGTCTAACTTTTCTCTCAAAGATCATCCGGCGACTCTGCCATTTTCAGCAGGCAGAAACACACATCCCAGCCTCAAAGGAAAAAAATCATGAGACAGAATGCCCTGCCCTCTACTGGCACACAAGCTGCACTGAAGCCTGCATACACACACAGCAGCTGAAGAGCTGCTTTAAGGCTTAGTATACTATTCTTCATAGTTTGTGAAGATCTGTAATGTATTGGACGTGTCAAACTTGCTGCATAATCTCACATGAAAACTATACTTCAGCATCATTGCACCTGTTCTCATTCTACCTAGCTCTGCAGGAAGCTTTAAAGTACTTCTACTGGCAAGATAATACATTCATTAACTGAAAATAAATTCTAAGAAATTATCTAACATACGTAATGTTTGCAGCACATATCCAAGAACTCTGAAAGACAAAAGTATTTTCTACAAAATTCTCTTCCCCTAAAAAACCACTTTCTGGCATCCTTGCAAGCTTTCATGATTACAGTCAGCCAAAGTGCATTTGGCCCAGGAGTGGAGAAGCAGGTTCACAACTCTGCAAAAATGACTTCGTGGCACCTTGATGCCAGGTGTAGAAATCGTCAGCCAGATTTCTGGCTCATTTGCTCATTTGAGATGGTGCCATGTAAACCTCAGGATGACTTCAGAAAGTGCTTGTTGTGACTGACCGTACCACTTCCATCTTCTGTTGCAGATAGCTTTAGAAGTGCCATCACTTAACCTTCTGGATTTTGCAAGTAGTTATTACTCACAGTAAGTATTCTCTTACTGATGTGAACAACAGATTTACACTGCTGTAATTGCATTTGTGAATGCAATTCTTGATTCCTGAAAGTAAATTCCCCATGTAGAATAGGCCTAAAAAGAATTGAATAAGCACAAGGATCCTGACTGCATCTTTCATACAAAAAATGAGGTTTAATCACATTAAAGCCAAAAAAAGCAGCCTGAAAAGCAGCACAGCTTTAACTATGAAACAAGAGAAAGCCTGATAGTATCAGATAACTCCCACAGAGCTCATCCATACCCTGAAACACGTTCAGAACACACCCTGTTTTCAGAGCTGTCACACAACAAATGCAGATGCAAGCTTGCCATCACCACACAAACAACAGAAGATGACATTTCAATAATACCACTAAGGAAAAGTAGGAGATGCATACAGCCTACACTATGTACAGCAGTTCTTTCTCAAAGCAATTCATCTGTTAGTTACCAAATAGCTAGACCCTCGGGATGAAACAAAGCAAAAGCATACAAGGTTCCAAGGAATCTACAGGAAAACAATCTCCTTTTTGCTGTAGATCCTACAGCACTAAAATTAAAAAAAAAAAAAAGGTATGTGTGCTTTTAAAGCTTATGAAATCCTACAACGAGTGAGGTTTTCATCTGCCCTACTTAGCCTCAACACACGTAGAGACAATTTCTACCCCCTCATTCCTGCGTCAGAGTTGTCTGACATCCTAAATAGTTCTTCTCCGACTCTGTATTGGTCTGAACCCTGACATTCATGAAGTACAAATGTATCCTCTTCAACCATGAGCTTCCTAGCTGCATAAGCCCATCATACTGCAGAGCCACACCTACGAGCAGAGTAGAAATTGGTATTTTAAACACAACCTATTTGAATCTCTGTTTGCATAAATAACCTCCACAATTAAATACCATTTCAAGTACAGAAGAAAAACAAAGTCACAACAGTATCCCTTGCGATTGCGGACAAGAGCACAGAGGTTGGAGAAAATAAAAGGCTTGTAAAGAAAGCGCTCAGGATTTGTTTTGAAGTGTATCAATAACCAACATTTTATTCTGCAAAGTCATTATTTTAGAAAACTCTCAAGAAGAGTTGAAAAGTGTTTTTAAGATGCCACTGGATGATGTACTGGCAGAAAAGAAAAAAAAAAAACAAAACAGCTTCTCAAATTTCCTCTATTTTTCCCCTTGAATTATACAGGTAGTAGTGATTCTGCTCCCACCTCTATATGTAAAATACCAGCTGATTTTGCTGCACTAAAAATTCTGGAGTGCAAGATCTTTTCCTTTCTAAATCACAAGACAGGAAAATGATTTCTGTTTCATTAGCAGAAAACTCTGGAGATAAGTGAGCATCTTATGGCAGGTCCGGGAACTGAACATAGATTTCAGATTTTCTGAGTTACAGCCTGGTGCCTTAGGCAGAAGCCTAGTCTTTTTTTCACTTAACAAAGCTATCAAAGTCAAAGCTCTTATTTAAAAATTGACAATGCAGCTTAGTAACAAATAGCAAGAATAGTTGCAAAGAAGTAATCAAAGTTAAATCGTTGTTGCTTCTTTAGTTAACATCTGCAAAAGCTTGTCCCCAGCAAACTGTCAAAAATGTTTCCAGCAGGCTCATTCAGAAGTCATACCAGTTTCTGTATGTACAATTCACAATACTGACATTACTGCCAGAGCTCCCATCTTTGTGTTTGAACTGTATTACCATTAGTTCTGCAGCACTGTCAGCATACTTACTGACTTTATACCCCAGCTTTTCAGCATGAATCCTCTTGGCCATGAACTGCCCTTCAATCAAGGCTCGTATTTCCACCTCCTTTGGAAAGTTCAAAACCTGTATCAAAAGAATGAATGCATTAAGTTAACCAGCATCTTACACAGTATACAACGCCAGGCTGGTGACAGGTTAAAAGCACAAGACAGATTTACAGTTCATTATCCTTATCTTCACTCTGAAGTCAGCTTTCAGCTAGGCCAGTCCTCTATTCGTATGCATAAGACACGTAAAGACTCAAAAACGCAACCCGTAACCTTGGAACTGCTGGCAAATCCATCAGTCCTGAAATCAATGCAGAACGGAAAGAGGACTAGTGTGAGTTGTAAACTATTAGTATTTCTCAACACCAAAGGCTGCTTAAGGATCAATACCTCAAAAATTGAAAAATTAAAGTATATAAAATTCAAACGCTTCAAGCAATGCCAGAGAGTTTAAATCTATGTATTTCTGTCTGCACAGAAGTGAAACAAGCTTTTTGTTAGTTGTTACAAGTAGCATCTTTCAGTCCTCTGTTAACCAGATGAAAGCTGGCAGAAGTGGGAAAACATTGAACTAAAAAAAAGAACGTTTCACAAAAAAGTTGACTTTTTCCATGTACCACAACCAGTGCCTACACACTTGTGAAACAGCAAGAAGCAACTAAGCACTCATTTAAACAGCAGGCACTTGGAACTTGGAAGTGAGCATCTCAGACAAGAGATAACAGCAAACATTTCAAGCTTTGGCAGCACACCTTCAAGGTTTTAGGCAATAACTAGATTATCCCTACCTTTTGGTTGTCGCTGCTGAATCTGTGAATCCCAACTGCTTCAGGAGTGATTTCCATCACGTCAAAGTAGAAACCTGCATCAGTTAACATTCAAGACTATCATGTTTTCTCCTAGCTCAAAGCTGTAATCTTATTTCAGCACAGAGCTGAAATAATAAATACAAATCATTATGTTTAGAAAGACATTTGGTATACCATACAGCTTGTTTCTTAACTAATTTCAGTCCAGATTTAATAAGTTTAATTACTTTTGGCTTTACAAAAAAGAGGCTGGCTCTAGGCCTCTAACACTTCATTAGAAATCTAAGCAATACAATAAAAGATAAGTCTACCAAAAAAGTTCCCATCCACCAGATCACGTACATATGCAAGTAGCAGAGTACTAAGATAATATATAATAGAAATAGTTTCAGTAAATTATTTGCAAAGTTGAAAGAAAAAAAATGAAAAAGAGAGGTTTGTAAGAAGTGTGTAGGAATAGCAGAACATTCCACGCATTGGATTAGATTTCATGAATTTATGAGAGAGCATCAGATGTTTTAAGTCACAAAGCAGAACTGGTCTCTGAATACTATTAATGAGATCGAAGGAAATGCAGTAATGCTTTGCAGACACTTAGAGGAAAAAGTGTGAAAAAGATTTCCTTTGTGCTGATGGCAACTTGGTCAGAAAAGATACTCAGGAAAGGAGACAAAAAACAAAACAAAACAAAACAAGAACTGGAAAGCTGATCAGAGCAGCCAGGAAACTAAGCACAGACTGCAAGGCTCAGGTCTTCAGAATGAGGATATGCTGCCCTAGGAGACCAATAAGCATTAACCCCCAAGAAAACTTCACCCTAGCAGCTGCCTCTGCTCATCTCCACATCTCCAAAGCCTCCAAAGGCATCATCTTGCTCAATGCGCAGGGAACAAGGGATAAAAGAAAGGAAGCCAAATCAGGCTCTTCTCCACTCTGCTTTGTTCAGGAAATCAGAGACTCCTATATTTTTACATGTTTAAATATCTCCAAATAACCCAGAAGTCACGCAAGGTTATCAGTTATCAAAACTGAAGGATAGGTTTCACAGAACACCCATTTTTATAGAGGACTGAGTTACCCAAGTGAATATATCGTAACACAAGTTTTAAATTCTAGGCAGTGTCCTGCTATCCCTGATACCAATAACAAGGTTTTCATCAACTTCCACTTTTCTTTCACTATTGTCTGACTTTTGGAACAATTTCCTCCTATCAACTGACCTGATTCACCTAGTGGCAAGAAATGCCTGACCACTTTAACACCCCCCAGAGACTGGATTTGACAGGACATAACATGAATTCACAGAATCACAGAATGACCAGGGTTGGAAGGCACCTCAAGGATCAGGAATCTCCAACCCCCTGCCACATGCAGGGCCACCAACCTCCACATTTAATGCTAAACCAGGCTGCCCAGGGCCCCATCCAACCTGGCCTTGAACACCTCCAGGGACGGGGCATCCACAGCATCTCTGGGCAGCTGTTCCAGCACCTCACCACTCTCTCTGTAAAGAATTTCCCCCTGACATCCAACCTAAATCTCCCCTCCCTCAACTTAAAACCATTTCCCTTGTCCTGCAGTTGTCAACCCTTTCCAAGAGTTGATTCCTCCTGTTTGTAGGCTCCCTTCAGGTGCTGAAAGGCTGCCATAAGGTCACCCCACAGCCTTCTTTTCTCCATGCTGAACAAGCCCAGCTCCCTCAGCCTGTCCTCATAGGGGAGGTGCTCCAGTCTCCTGGAGCCTCCTCTGGACCCTCTCCAACAGCTCCCTGTCTTTTTCATACTGGGATTCTGAACATGAAATCAGTGCTAACCTCACTTTGTCAAGAAACTGCATCTTAAATTCACTTTCCTGAAAATTGAAGTCTTCCATAGCTTAATAACCCTACAGTGTTTTTTAAAATTAATTTGACTCAGATCTAACATGATTGCAATGATTTCAAATACAACAGTCAAATATTAATCTTGATTATACAAACACTCATCTTTCAATACCTTGAAAATGTTAAATTTTCAAAAATAAAATAATGTAAAAATTCAAATACATGAGTTTGTTAATATTTTTAAACTGTTTTGATTATTTCCTTTCATTCACTTAGCCTAATGTTGGGCAAAATAAGGGATGAAATGGCCTTTACAACACATGTAGGGGAAAATGCAGGATATTGGGTAAGATTTGATATTACTGCTTTTTTCACATGCACAAGCAAGATTCTAGAGAAATGTTAAGAGATCAGAATGATTGAAGACTGAGAAAAAAAAGCATGGGGCTATTTAAACCACATGGCTTGAGACCTCAGCAAAAAACAAATCTCCTTCAGAAATTACTCATTTTAAACAATCTGCAGTTAACTCCTTTTCAGTGGCCGAAAGAGATCCATTAATATCTTTTTCTTATTTTTAGTCAATCTGAAGAAGAATACTGTAATGACACTCAGCCTGCCAGAGTATTTCTGAGCACGCCTTAAAAATTCCCCCTGCACAGCTCAACTAATTCTTAGTCCTTTTCATGACTCAAGTAGAAAGTAGGCACAACTCCTACTAAGTCATGTCTTTAATCAACCTCAGGAAATCCCAGCCCTGCTGAGGCTCGTACCCAAGTTCCCATTGTTTCCAGCAGCAGTAGATGATAAGGCTTTGGAGAATTCATCCCAGGAGCCTGAAGCACACTCATTTCGGATCCTCTCTCTCATCAGAGAGCCGTTCTTAAAACTGAAACACATAAACATACCATATGCATTTTCCAAACCATTTGGCTCTAGATTTTTAAAGCAAATTGCTGTTTTAGGTAATATTGCTGCTTATTACATCAATTGAAGACAGCTGGGCAATCAAAACTATACTATCCTCTCTTCATTATGGAAACAGATGGAGAAGCAAGAAACTGGGTAAGAGAGAAAACTATTACAAGACATGTTGATGAACACAGTGCAGAGATGCTCTTCTACATCTCTCCAATGAGTTGGCTTACATCAGGCCAGCAGATCACGCCATACTCAGTCTAGCTCTGAACAGCTACCACATCTCAGAGCACCAAGGACAGGAGTTGTAACCCAAAGCCTGGCTTGTCATTGTTTCCTGGAGCCCAAAGCACTGAAGAATACACATCAGCTCTGCTCGTGCCAGCTGTAGAGCAGGACTTGGGGAGCTGTGTTTTTGTACTGAGAAATGGTCTGAATGGTGAGGAAGCTGACTTCCTGTCAGAAGCACTCTGTCATAGTAAGAAAAGGCTAGCTGTGAGATGACTGTAAGGAGGAAAAGCATCTCTTCACTGCATTACATCACTTACGATTTCAGGAGTGTTGTACTGGTATGGAGCCGGCTTGGGTCCAGTAAGACTTATGAGGCCTTGCTCCATGCCAGTATTGGCAAAGGAAGTCAAAACAGGCAAAAATTAGGAAAAAAATTGAAACTTAAATACGAAGCTTCAAAAATAGCCAAACTGTTGAGAAATCATATTATGAAAATCAGTAACTTGCAATCAACATCAACATTCTAAACTCAACTTCACAACCCTGCTCCCACTGTCATCTACAGCATCCCATTCTTATTCAGATAAAGACATCACACTTAAAAGGCAGATGTGAGCTCTGCTGAAGCACCTACAGTCTGATTTTGTGATACCAAAAAAAGAAAAAAAAACAAGAGGTAATCTCAAAATCCAGAGGAAACAGGTTGCTTTAACCAGGAAGGCCATCAAATCTCCACCTTCAGAAAATGCCATTTATACCCCAGCTAATTTGTAATAATTGAAACAATGTTACTACTATGACATAAGAATCAGCCCAAGTTGGGGGAATCAAAATTTCTTTAAGAGGACCGTATCTGTACACTCACAACTAATGGGTCCATTACACCTTTCTTACGTTCTTCCCAAGCAATAGCCCCATTCACTCCCACCAATAAATGCTGTGCTGTGCTCTGTGCAATCCTGAGGATTTTGACTTCAAATGTATCTGTAAAATACTTGTATCTGTAAATATTTGCCCAAATACTCTGACTTGTAAGTTTTTTCCCTGAACACAGGGACAAGGTAGCTTCAGGTCCTCTTTCCACCTGCTTGCTTGGATAACAGCCAAACCATTCCCAGATCACAGCAGCCAAAAGCCACCATGAGGATCATCCTCTCAGCTCAGCTTCTTGACATCTCAGTATTTTCCACATGCGCAGCCTAATCTGTCCCTGAACAGCACTGATTATACTCCTCCATGAAAAGAAACCTTTCACCTGTCCCTTTATGCTCCCTCTGGACCACTAGAATAGCACAGAAGTTGTACAGTCTGGTCAAGCTTCCGGCATTCCAGATTATTACATTTCAAAAGGCTATTATTCCTATACCTTAAATATACTATCTTAGATTAATAGTGAACTGGCTCTATGAATATATAAAAATAATTTTGTCCTTTTATTGCCATGAAAATCCATCCATCATAACTCTGCAGTTGCAGTTACCCAAGCTAAACAATGAGAATGCTCTAACATTGATGCAAATGTTTCAGCAATAGATTGCCTGAGACCATACAGAATGCTGAATGTTCTATTCGTGATCATTTTGCAAAAGGAATAAAACACTAACGCAGACAAATATGCTATTGATCCCAAATGTACCAAAAAGAAAAGATATTACCATAAAAGTGCCATGAACGTTTGAGAATCAACAGGATTGCAGAGGATGTGACCTTCTAAGGCTGGAGTTGGCTCCTGGATCCACAGAAACAATGTGTCACTTGTGCCAAGGCTAATCTGGAGGAGAAAAAGAAAAAGTAATTGAGGCGTTATCACAACGTGCATGGAAAGCAATACAGAAATTAAATTAAAACCATTTGTTATCACCACTAATTGTTTTTAAATTACACATTAAGTCAATTGGATTCATACTGAAGCTAGCTCTGACTTTCAGGTTGTCACATCAGTGAAATACATACTAGACAGAGACTTGGGCCTTAGTGACTGGAGCGTTAGTTAAAAATAGTTACACAGTTTGCTTAAAATCTTTCAGACAGCTTGCACATTGATAGAAATAAAACAAGCATGAAGCCAATAAAGAGAAAATCAACACTGGCAGATTAATTTGACTGATAACCTACAGCTACTGCCCTTGTTACTGTTCCACATTTCATACACTCTACTTATTCAGGGACATGAACAGTTTTCAGAAATACGTTTTGACTTACTGCAATATCTCCTTCTTGAAGCCTCATCCCTGCCAATGATGCTGAAACCAGAAGTCAGATAAAAAGTTACTTGTGTGACTCAATTATAGCATACCGCATGAGACGTCACAGTACAGTGAATTCACCATCTCAAAGCAGAATATAAATGGCAAGTATACTTGTGACAGCCTTGGCCTGTACACGTAAGAGTTTGGGCGATGGAGTTATTTTTGACACTGAATCAAAAACATTCAAGGCCAAGAGCTACAGAGCTGCAGGATTCTCTAAAGTTTTGTATGTTCAAGTTTTAAATACTGTGGAGCCTTATTTAAAGCACAAAGGCTTCCACTTACAGACTACTCATGTATCTATTGGACTAAACTGAATTTTAATCTCAAGAAAAATCAATTCAATTTTCAAGACATTCATCTCCCATACTGCTCATGGGAAACATTCCAGGATGAATCCTATATCTCAATCCAAACCTGGACATGCTCCTGTAATACAGTAAGCACTTTCACAGTCCTGAGAAACAGATGGCTTTGCTCTGTCTGCACTTAAACAGTTTTGAGGATTACAAAACCTGACCCTAAATTAACATCTTCCCTTATACTGGGATCTACCACTCTGACAAAAGGACAGCTCTAACTCTTAAAGAACAGCTGTAACATCTATCTCCATCTCTTTGACTCAGAAGATACAACAGCAGGCTTTGAATTCACATTTCCTAAGTCAAAAATGGAAGCAATTCATTTCAAGAATTGGCTGTTAGGTGGAGACAAACAAAAACTGAAGTTATCAGGAGGCAAATGAAGTCACCTCCAAATAATAGGCTAAGTGGAAGTCATTTGCAGTACTCTGCTTATCCGAGATGTCTTTATCTAAGAATAATCAGTGAGGGATGGCTGTCAGAAAAAGCTATTAATGCTGATAAATGTGATATCCTTTCACTGTATAAAGAAGCATCTAAGAATTAATAGTATTGATCTAGAATTTCAGTACACACATAAACATATTCACTGAATCTTATACACTTAATCATCTCACCTGGATTGTCTCCTGTAAAGGCTACTATTTTACAGTCTGGGCTAAACTCATAACGCTGAACATAATATGGAGAAATGGATCCCTAAGGAAAGAAAGAAATACAGAGCAAGGAAAAAAAGCTCAAAATTGGAAAATAATCTCACAGTGTACAACACAGTGCTGTAACATAGTTCCAAAAACCCATAGAGCAGTTGAAAAATTTCTGTATATTTAAGGCATAAATATTTTCCTGATTTTGAATGCAATTTTTTTGTCAGACAATCTCAGAAACACACGCAGATTAGATTTTGAAATAGATCAAGTAAGCAGTAGCATTTTAGCCCTGGTTCACTCTCATGTTACTCACATCCAATAACAAACATATCCACCTATTCTTCACACATGCGTGGAATACACAGAAACTAAAAATCCAATGCAAACACAACATTAATACACATCACAACATTAAATGTTGGAACACGAGGGGTCTGGAGCACAAGTTATAAGGAGCAGCTAAGGGACCTGGGATTGCCTAGTCTGGAGAAGAGAAGGCTCAGGGGAGACCTCATTGCTCTCTACAACTACCTGAAGGGAGGCTGGCCAAGGTGGGGGGTTGGCCTCTGTGATAAGAGACAGGAATAGAGGAAATGGCCTCAAGTTGCACCAGGGAGATTCAGGCTGGACATTAGGAAATAATGGAGGTGTTCAAAAAATATTTAGATGTACTGAGGGACATGGTTTGGTGAGAAATACTGGTAATAGGTGGATGGCTGGACTGGATGATCTTGGAGGTCTTTTCCAACCTCAGCAATTCTATGATTCTAATATGACACCTGTTATTTTACAGGCCAAGAACTGCACTCTTTTTTTTTTTTTAAGCCACAGCTGATAGCCACAGAGAAAAAAAATAAGAGAACACAACAACTACCCTTACAAAAGTACAAGGACTTTTCAATGTTTCTCTCCATTAGAGAAGATTAGCATTAGAATCACAAGTCAGCTACGTTAACAGACTGACTAAAGACGAATCAGTGACAGATATCTATACTGTTTCACATGTGCACCATCTAAAGCAATAGCTCTTTTCTTTTTGCTGTTAGATACTAAGACTAAATTGATCTACTTGAAGAGATGTGAGCCTTGATTTGATTTCGTCATTATGCTACATGAATTGAGGAGCTCTAAACATCCCCAATTATTCACAAAGATTAACTCCTTAATTCTACAATTTAAAACAAGGCTGCTGCTAAGTAATGCAAATGTTGAGTTCTGTTTCTGCAGCAACAAAAGCCACACACAGTTCTGCAGTAGCCAGCTGACTAGAGGACATATATGGGGATTGGGAAGAGAAAACCCCAACAATTCTCATCACTGGAGCATCTGCCAAACTGTTGGTCTTCATAGCACAGAGCATGCTAGAATCCAGGCTGATCCACAGTGAAAGCTATGACAGATACCTGCTACCAGTTTCCAAAAGTGTCCTTTTCTGCTCTGACACAGATATGTACAGAATACCTGCAAGTATTAAATCAACCAACATCGCTCTGAGGGTAACTGTGCACACAGACACACACTCAAATACACTCCAAGAAAGAACAATCAGCAGAACTCTCAACAAAAAGCTCTAATTTTTTCCAGTGAGAAATATTTTACAATTCTTTGTTGTTTGTGTGGGTTTGGTTTGCTGGTGGTTCTTATTTGTTTGCTCATTTAAACTCCTCTAGACAGGCACGTACCAGAACTGAATGGGATGGCACAGGGTTTCCCAGTTTCTCCACTAACCCTGGTGCACAAGCATCAAGGCAGGATGCCGACCACACCTTTTCCCAAATTTGCAGCAGATTCATACCAGAACCTGAAAGATACAGATCAAAACAAGCACAGATCATTAAACACAAAACTTGGGTAAAGAAAACACCACTACATCACAAAATTCCACCTCGTTACAGGCAGCAGAGTTTACAGAAAACATTCTACATTCAAATAGAATGGTCTCAACCCTTCTAAGTACAATTGATAACGATGATTCTACCTAACCGCCTTTCATCTGCAAGGTTGCAGAAAATACTCCTCTGATGCACACTGCAACAGAAAAATCAGTTATTTTCAAATAAAGAAAAGAGAAAACATATCTCTCCACTGACTCCTCCTCAATCCTTCTGCTCTATAGAAATACTTCACTACTGTCTAGATGCAGCAGTGTCACCTGAAGGCAAGTTGTCCTCATCTGAGACCTAACAATGAAGAAATTCTATCCTAGGCAGCTTGGCTATACACTACTATCTTTGAGCATCAAACCAGCACCTACATCCACTGCCCACATTGACTCATCTTCCTCCATATCAGTGCTTCCTTCTTCAAAGACAATGAAATAAAAATACTAGTTGCAAAAATAAAAACAAAAACAAAAAAACCACCCTAGCTTAGAATCATAGAATCATTGAGGTTGGAAAAGACCACTAAGATCATCAAGCCCAACCACCAGGCCATCACCACCATGACCACTAAGCCACATCCCTCAGTGCCACATCTCCATCTCCATCTTGAAAACCTGCAGGTATGGCAATTCTACCACTTTCCTGGGCACATCATTTTCTGCTTCATCTCTCATTGCTTTTTTCCCCTCACTATTTTATTTGCATTGTCCCAGTTTATAAAGTTAACTGAAGCAGTGATCAAATCTAAGCAACCTACTAAGCACTCCACATCCCTTGCTTGTATTTCTAGGATGTCTTTAATTGCACATTTCATTAGACTTGAAAAATCTGTAAGCACTACTGGTTAATGCTGTTCAGGGACATATTAGTCTTACACTGGATTAACAACATTTTCATTTTGAACATGACTTATTTATCTCAGAAACACAACCACGTTCTCAGCCGAGCACTGGAATACCTGAAGTTTACTTCAACTCAATACATTTTGAAACTGTGAAAAAACACAAAGACAGTGAAGTTGACCCAGCAGGCACTGTCTGTGGAATAAGATGACACTCACAGTGCTGGGACACAGAGGAAGAGAAGGTTTGTAACCAAATTTCAGCCAGCATAACACAAGGCTCTTACTCTGAACAAATCCACAAGTCTGCCATACTCCCTCTGCATACCCCACTGCTGGTTAATCGTGCACAAATAAGCTGACATTATCAATTCCCAGCAGCCTTTCTCCACAGATCAAAGACATTTATTTCTAAAATATCTATTCATACAGCTCAATCCTAAGCATCACCAACAAGGACTGGACTTCGTGCTTTGCACTGCACAAGCACCTGAATAAACCAAGCCAAACAGCAGGAAATTTGAACTATACTTAGTAACATTTAAAATAGAATTAAATTTGTTAAATGCAATTCATCTAATTTCACGCAAATTAAACACACTTAAATTACGCACCAGTTAGTTTCCTTCTCCACTGTTAGAGTCATTACCACCAAGAGAAGGAAAGATGATGACTCAGACCAGCTTTTCTCACTTCTCTTAAATCTAGCCATCCCTCCTGCCTAGGAAACCTGAGTCCAGCATCACCATCTGCTCTTCCAGGGGATGAAGGCAGTGAGCAGCCTCTTCCCAGGCCTCCCAGGCATAATAGGGCTGCCTAGGAAGATTTAAGCAAAGCTAGAAAGTTTCCTTGAAAATCTCCTAACCAGCGATCAAGGAAGTCTTTAAATAAATAGGAACTTTATTAGAGAAAGGGTAGCTGTTGTTTCCTCAGGATTTAAATCCTTCACCCCCATACCCTGCAAGCATAGGGAAACACTCAACCAGTATCTTCCCATGCAGTTTTTGAAGATATAAGGAGTGCTTCCAATCTTTCCTCCATAAAATAGAGAAAACAGTAACATTTATGACTGAAAAGGTCTAAGCTAATATATAAACTGAAACAGCACTTCAGTTTTATTGACTGGTAGACACAGTCACACAGAGACTCTGTTATGCCCTGATAAAAGATAGACGAACTAATTTACCTCATTCTCAAAAACTCATTTGAAAGATGTGAAACAATTACTTGATAAGAACAACCTGCCTATTGGCCCAGATCATCCTATCCAAGTACACACACCTGAAAGAGAAGCCAGAGAGCTGGATGCCCCCTGGAACTGCTTGCTCCTTCAATTACATGTGGAGCAACACAACGAGCACCTAACTCAAGCACCTCTGGTTATGATCTATGCCAGTTCTAGAAATGAAAGTTAGTAAAAAACGGCTTAAAAACATCATTGTAAGTTTAACATAAAAATAAGTAATAAAATTAAAAACAAGAAAGAAAAAACAACAAAATGCAACCCTTCAACTTGCCACTCCAGATGTCACCCCATCAGTAATGAGGAAGGTCAACAGTCAAGTCCACAGTCTGGTAAGAATGGAGGAAAGGTTCAACACAGAAGTGAGCAGAATTCAGCATCCCACTGCAAGCATCACTGACTTAGCATGAAGTGTTCAGGAGCACAACTGGGACTTGCTAACATTTACTGCTTATACAAAAATACATGGTTGGAAAAAAATCATCACAAAGACCAAAAGAAACCGACTAACTGGCTTCATTAATCAACAACCCAAAGATCAGTATTTGCATATATTTATAAACAGGTAAGTGCATTTGTGTTACAGAGCTCCAGATTGCCTTCTCAAGAGCCCAGATCAGAAGCAGCATAACTCTGCTGACACCAACAGCCTTCATCAAGAGTAAGTTCAGCTTACTGTGCTTCCTTCTGAATAGGCTTCAGCTCTAAGCATCTTAATTTGGTTGAACAACAGAAGCAAGTATGCTAAGCTATAATTTCCCTAAGGCTCCTAGAAAAGCATTACAAAAGATAAAGCTTCTCTAGGTCAAGAGCTGAGTAGCTGCTCTTTAAGGTATCTTCTAAAAGAAACAACACCTGAAGTGGCCACTTCATTCATATGTCCCAAATGTATCTTACTTTTACCTTCCACACAATATAAACAAAAATCATTCTTCGTTCTACCAGAATGTAAGTTGATTTCTTTTAAATCAATCAGACAAAGTGCTCAGCCATTCATAAGGAGCCCATAAAGTTCATCTGAACTTTGTGAGATTGGATCTTTAAGAAGAAAAGTTCCTAAAACTGACTAGCACATTCCCTACAACAACATGAAAATTTGAAGAGAAACTTGTGCAGAAGTAAGCAATTTGACAAGGTTTTTTAAAGGCAATATGACCTGAAGTCACACCTACAGAAATGAAGATCAAGTCTATTACATGAACATTATTGAGACGTGTTTCAAACTACAACACACAGGTGCAACATAAAAGATCAAGGGAATTGCAAGAAATCGTATGTGACAAGCAAGTTTTACAGATGGATCCAAATAACTGCTGCAATTATATTTCAGTACTGAAATTAGAATTCTCTCTCATTACATTAACAGAAGATAAGAATGTACAAGACCAAATACAGCTTACATCACCAAAAAGTCTTCTGCATTGTAAAGAGAACTGTAACATCCTGCTTAGTTCCCTTATCTTTTTTCACAGAGATTTAATAATCTTACATGCTCTGAACTGTAGATAACATTGATTCAAGTTACGTAAATATCCAGAGGTACAACAGATAGGCTCTCCTTAGAGCTGTTCAAAAAAATGCAACACATGTTCTATGAAAATCTTCTAATGAAGCAACGTATTCCTTTGTCAGAAAAAAGCATCCTGCAGCTCTCAGTCTGTTTGAAACACAGGACACGGAGCTTTGTGGAGGTCGCTGAGTGGCTGAAATGCTCAGTACTTGGGCCTACTGAGGAGCAAAGTAGCAATTCTGTGGGCAATAATACACATGCACAAATTTAGCTGTGAAAATACACAGCTAACAGAACAAGACAAGATGACAGATGCAGTAATCACACAATTGCTTCAAAATAAGAATGGATTGTCTTGCAATTTTTAAGGTCTCAAATATAAATGGGATATCTGGTATTGAATAAGTTGACCGTCAGCTAAAATTGAGCTGTCCTGCTATTTCTATGAGCTTTGATGGAACAACAGAAGGGAAAAAATGAGCTGGTCTTCACACATGGGTGTCACCTACAGCTCTATAATGCAAAATTTCCTTAGAGAATCTTTTTATCTAACCTTTCAGCTCTGAAGAATATCTTCTCTTATTTTCAGAGGCGGAATCAAAAATGCTACTTAGAAATAATAGCGCAGCTCCCAGGAAGGAGGCATTGCTTGTAACTGTCATTTAAAATTGCCATTGAAAAGCTGGATAACTGAGATAACACACCACAGAAAGGAGACACACTGGCCTAGTCACTTTGCTCTTTGTTATGATGAATAGAGCAATACAGAAGGTTACATCATGTTTTTTTCAAATAGAGCTTGGGTTTTTTTTTTGGGGGGGAGGGTGGCTTGGTTTTGCTTTTCCTCTGGTTCATTCCAAAAGAATATCCTTGTTAGTTCCAGTTAGATGGTGGGTAGAGTGAGAGAAATAATCACAGTATGTATCTTGCTTGCGTCCTGCACAACTGAAAGCCAAAAACCAAAACCAAAGCAAAAACCAAAGAAGAAGTATCAGAAGTTGAGCTGACATCACCATCTAGAGTAGCAACAAACTGAAAGGATAACAGGCAGAAATTGGAACACAGGAAGTTCCATACTAATGTGAGAAAGAACTTCCTAAATGTCATAGTGACAGAGCACTGGAACAGGCTGCCTAGAGAAGTTGCAGAGTCTCCTTCTCTGGAGATACTGAAGGCCTGCCTGGATGCCTACCAGTGCGACCTGCGAGGAACCTGCTTTACCAGAGGGCTTGGACTCAATGATCTCTAGAGGTACAGACTCACCTATAGGGGTTGGTAGGTGAGTAATTTAGCTTAAAAACTAATACACTTGTCATTAAAGCTTAAAGACCAAAAATAAATGGCAGAAACCTCATCCCACTTTTACATCAGATAGGAAGAGAGACAAACTTTGCCTTGCTAAATTGTCACTACCAGAAAACCCCATACATACTTACCATCACTGTAATCAATGGGTGCATAAGCTCCTAGGAAAAGGGAAGCTGCAAAACTGCTAACTAAAGAGATCCTCTGAAAGAAAAAAACAGGGAGATAGTGATTCTCATCAGTACTGACTTCAAAGAAAGAAAATAACTTAAGTAATTGGAAGTAGCAGATGTTAATGGATGCTTGATGTTAGGGAGAATACACTTAAAAGTACACCTCCAAGGATTATTCAGTTCTATATTCCTGCTGAAGCAACATGGCAGACATCAGTTTAAAGGTAACCCTGTGATAAAAGCTGTTAATAGTTTTGCATTCTGAAACATGCAAAATACACCGAGTATATTAGCATATCTATGTTATCATGAATTAATTCACAACTGAGGTATATTCTAGATCTCACTTCAAGGAAAAACATAAGAAAAAACAACAACTGGATGATCGGGGAAACAGCCACACACACTGGTCAACCTGGAGTGCAGGTCTGCAAGGCAAGGCTCTGACAACACCTCCATCTGAACTCTTACCATGCCAGCAGAGATGACAGATCTCCTAGGATTTACTTCCAGGAATTGGTAATCTGAACTAAATCAGTATCCGCTGCTCTCCCTCAGGTTATGTTCCAACAGCGCATTAGATGCTGCAGGGCTTCTAGCACCAGCTCTAAAATGCCCTGGTCACATAACACAAAACACTGATGCAACATGAACTCACCTCCATTTCAAGTCTGCTAGAGGAACTACGAAGTTAATCAGCTACTGCTGAGCTTTCGGTAGGATCAAGTATTATCTGCCCCCAGAAACTGGCATAAAAGCTAACAAATTCCTTATTGTGCTCTCTAATTCAAAAGAGTTACAATTGTTACCCAACAACTAATCAGAATCAAATCTCTATGAGCCAGCAGTGACAGGGTTTTGTTATTAATGACCATGAAACCACTGCTTCGCATGGCATTCAGGGATGTACTATAGCCAGAGTTCAAAAATGTACTTATAATGGCCAGGAAACTTAATGATGCACTTGCTCTTCATGCATCTCTCCCCAGGAATATATCACATTGTGCTTAGATAACAAAGGCCTACCTTCTGCGGTGCCCCAATGGGCACAAGCTGCCTGAAATGGAAGGAAAAGGATGAAGTTAAACTGTGAATCAGCTAGTTTATCAAGCTGACCTAGAGGAGGAAAGGTATCCACCTTCCACATGCTGCTGAAACTATCAAGCTGCTAAGTGTTTCTTGTGGGTTCCTAAGAGCACAGACATTTGTGCTAGAACATAGCTTCTTGCACATCCTTTGCTACCAAAAAGGTGGCATCAGTGCCACCAGCCTTTTGTCTTAGCTTAGTCTGAGCAGTTCTAGTTCCCAGGAACTCACCCCCCACCCTGCCCCTGCCATTAATGCATCTTTCTCCAAACTTATTCTTAAGCTTACCATCAACTTGCATTAGTCCCGTTTCATTCCAGCCTTAACCAGCATAAAAAATTATATAATGAAACAAAAAGAAAAAAACAAAATAGGCAGCAAAATTTGCAATTCACTTCCCCACAAAATTAAATATTTCATGCAGGAATAAGATTTTTAAAAATTATGATCAATGCTAACAAGAACTGCAGTAATGTAAAAGTACAAGCAGTCTGACTTCATAGGTCAAGACGTATGGCGTTCTCAACTCACAGGACAGGAACTTCTCCCTTGTTTATATCACATCTGCATGGAAGTTTCACCTTGTTTCAAACTATTTTAGTCACAGCTAGATGCAGACTTAACAAATTGAGGTATAGGAATTTATATAGATTTCTAAAAATTTAAGAAAAAAAAAAAAAAACAGGAGGAAACTAAACGTGTTTCATTCATAATAACAACCAAAGTTGTTTCCTGCAGGGAAAAAATTTCTGAAAAAACATCTAGAATTGACTGCAGTTGTTTCCTATGCATATCTGCATGGCTGCCAGCTTTGTATGGCAGAACAACAACACTTCTGGATGCATACAGCCAGTTGTCACTATTAAAATTTCATCTGTGTGCTTAGCTGCCCACTCATATTTGAGCTGTTATATATACCAGCCTATTGGCACTCAAATAAAAGCCTGTAATAAATCTTACTCCACAAAAGCTAGGATCCAATGGAGCCCACTGTGTTACACCAGCATTCAGGAATTGATGCCCAATTTGTGTTTTATCTAATGACTAACAAATCCACAAAAAGTAAAAGAAAAAGTCACAGAATTTTATCTTAAAGCAAGCACAAAAGTAAAAATACTTTTAGGGGAGGAAAAAAAAAAAAAGGTGACATCACAAAATTCCACTTAAAAAGATTTTCAACTGTGATTTCCAATAAGTACAAGTTGAAGTTGAGCCAACCTCAGTTTGTGCGTAGACCTCAGGGTTCTGGTTGTAAATCTTTGCTATCTGGTTTCCTGTAAAACGCTGAGAAAGAAATGCAAATGCTTAGAAACACAAACCTTAAATGGAGTCAATAATCATTAACTCTGTGTAATGAGTTCAGTACATTGCACTTTGGATATTTAATTTGTCTGATGCATGATGAAAGTCAGTGCACAGCAGGCAATCTGCACTAAACAGGCTATAACACATGGTCTCATTATGAGAATTTTGCTCACCTTTAAAAAAAATCTGAGAAAAAAAAACATTACTATACATAATTTACATTTCAGAAATGACAGTTCAGTGGAATGAATCACTCTTATTACATGCTCAGGAACTAACACTATTGAAATGCTGCCTTCACCTTCTTAAAAAGGTTTAGGCTATCCAACCTGCGTGCCTCTCTGTGAGGAAGGTAAGTGGGAACAGGCAGGAAGTTTTATACTTAAAGAAGCAACATCAGTACAAGATATTAACAGTTTTGAGAAGAACTATTTTTCCTTCATATATTACATCAAATAACTAAAAACCCCATAATACTGATCTTCCAAAACCTTAACCTTTAGTAAGTTAAAAATAAACCGCTAGTAGTATATAAAATCCGATTTCAAACACCGGCTATAAACCTTTCATGATTCAAAACCAGAATGAGAATTCTGGGAGGTTAGAGCCTTACTTTACTGAACTAACAGCGAGAGCAGACAGGTGCAAAGATGCCTGCAGGGCAGCCCCACTCCCACTCCATAACTCTTTGTCGTGGTTGTAAGAGAGGGAAGTGCTGGGAAGATGAGATGAGTGACAGAGCACTCCCTGATAGAGTCCCAAACTTCTGAAGCTCACTTTTCTTAGGTTAATACAGCTGCTTGTTAGCCTTCATGGAACATCAAAAGGGCAATCTAAATTACAGAAGTAGCCTTGAGCAGTGATCCCAAAACACTGAGTCATTAACCCCAAGTAAATCTGTAACACAAAGTGAATTGTGATCCCAATGGAAACCTGGCTGCACAGGAGCTCCCAGCAGAGAGCTGGACCCTGAGACCGTAAGTATGGACACTGAACACCACATCTGGGGAACCACAGGCCAAGAGCAACAGCTTAATCCAACTTACTCCTGCACTGCTTCTTGAAGTAAAATTTCCAGTGTTTTGCCTAATTTTACTTGAGAATTTCCACAGAATAGGATTTCCACGTCTTTCTTCATGAGCTTACTGCAAAGCATAATATCACTGGAGTTTCTTTAGAAACACTGAATAAAACTGCCTCTTTTATAATTAACGGCTGATCATTATCTGCTGTGATGTGACAGAGTTGGTTTTGGTCACAAGACTCTGCTGAGGACTTTCTTGTCATGCTTCTTACCTCATAGGCTCGAGAACCAGTGATATTTGCTAAGCGCTGTGCTCCTCCCACAGCATTCTCCAGAGCGCTGCACTGCGAAGCTGTGCTAGAATCCATCCAGATGGGGCTGTTACTGACAGCAAAACAAGCCTGGAACAAACAGTATTCTTTAAGAATAACACCTCATCTCTAAGAAGTCCCTACTGAAACAATAACAACACAGCAGACAGAGGAGTCAGCTCACAGGTCAGTTCTCTGATGTCCTTTCAGTAACTGAAGGAAAACAGTATTGGTCAGTATGTCAGCCAGTGGTGGAAAGCCTAACCCAAATGTCACACCTGAGGGAAGCAGCAGGCTTTATCTGCTGGTACATCACACATACCCTGCAGCTGAACGTACTGCAGCAACATATCAGTACATTCCTTTGGAGGCCAGAGCCCCAGGATGTTTTATACAAGCTTAGACTCAGTTTGACAAGCTTTTTCCCTCAACACTTAGATGATCTTTCTAGAGCTCTTCTAACAGATTTCTCTTCAATGACTGGCATAATTGTTAAGCAAAACAATGAGGCTTACCACATCACCAGATAGCATTTTCATTCCCTTTCCAAGATTTCTGCATGAGGTATCTCCAAAATTAATCATTTAATAGATCAGCTTCTACAAATGCCTCTCCTTCAGTATTCGACTGTTGTTACTGATCTGAGATTCACAGAATATCCCAAGTTGAAAGAAACTCACATGGGTCACAGAATCACACAGAATCACAGAATCACCCGGGTTGGAAGGGACCTCAAGGATCATGTAGTTCCAACCCCCCTGCCTAGCAGGGCCACCAAACACACACATTCAGGGTCATGGGTCACCGAGTCCACCTCCCAGCTCCACACAGACCAAGCAAAATCCAAACCTGTATCTGAGAGCAGCGTCCAAAGGCTCCGTGAGCGCTGGCAGCTCAAGGTTGTGCCCACTGCTCTGAGCGAAGAACATTTTCCTGACACAAGCCCTTCCCTCTCATGGCAGGCTGTGTTGGGCCTGATTCACCCCAGGACACGGCTGCATATTGAACTACAGAAAGGACTTCAAAAGGAAAGCTGTTTTCTCCCTATTTTTCAAATACTAATCTGTCAAGTCTGTGTGCAAAACATATCAAACCCCTGCCTCCAAAAAAGTACTGAGGTTCAACAAAGTATTTGGTAGGAGATTCTGTCCACTTTATCATTTCAGAGCTAAGTGTAAATTTTTATTTTTTTTAGTATTTTCTAATGAAAACTCAAGCACTGCGGGGAACTCTGGTACAATAATATTCTTCACCATTTTTTCTTTTAATACAGGTTAAAAAAACCTACAACATTTACAGGTTGTTTACAAAAATGTTATGTTTAAAGAACAAACAGGCTCTAGCTCTGACATTAAAAGATTCTGGGATGCCTACTGGCACCAATAAGCTTTTAAAACAGTATATACTTTCACTCAAGAGAACAGGAAATGCCAGGAGCTCTGGAGCTGAAGGAATAACCAGTACATTTCACTTTACACTGCAGGAAAATGCAACCAGAGAAAACACTTGCAGGGGGGAAAAAAAAAAAAAAAGCAATGCATGAAGACCAGGAAAAGACCAGTGTAGCTCTCCTTTCAAAGTTCTTGTGTGAACATTACCTTCAGTGACTGATGCAAAGGCAGCTCGGGTGATGCATTCTTTAAGATTTGGATGCTTCCTTTCTTCCAATATACACTTCCATGTTGCTGTAAGAAGTGCAAAAATACAAGTTGGAGATAGTCCCCCAGGATATGAACTTTGCAGCTTGATCTGAATTTGAAGCTCTTAGGACAGAGAACTCTCTCCAAACTACAAGAAAGAAAATGTACCTTCTCAAACCAACTGCCTCATATTAAAGGTCTATTTGAGACTGAGCAAACCAGAAAACATAGGAATTGAGACAAATATGACCTTAAACTACAGCAACTTTTAGTGGAAGCTGTTATCACACTGCTAACCCATGCCATTAGCTGTTTTTTTGAGGGCTCTTCCAGCTGTAGCCAGAGCTGCAGACAATTTGTTCCTGGCTCTACCTGCACAGACCCCAGGTCCCGCAGTCACGTGCCCACCCCAGCCACTGCTAACCAACTGCATAATACTGAATAAGCTGCTTAACCTCCAACTCTCAGAAGCCTTTCTAATGTCAGACAACTCTAGCTGTTCATATTTAGATCACCCAAAGCAAACTATAAGGCACCATTCAGTGTTCCACTAATGATGAACCTCCCAGGCCCACAATTCTTGACCCACGTTATGATCCAGATTGTATCAACGTTTCTGTTCCAGTTCTGCCGACAACTGAGACCAAAACCTGGCACGCTGGTACGCCTCTGCTATCTGATTGGCAATACAGAGACAAGATTCTTAAGAGATAAGGAAGAATGACAATGTGAGTTGGAAAGTGGCAGTTAAAAGAAATCTACTCTACCTGAAAGAATCTGAATGTAGCGACCCCAAGTTATAGAAGCACAGTGGTTTTAATTCGAAGAAAGAAGTTGAAGCAAAGGGAACACTGGCAGTTTGGAAAAACAATTCCTACTTCTGCTTGAGAGAGCTGCACTTTCCTTCCAGTCTCTAACTTCTATTCCACTAAGGAATTCCTAACAAAGCCTTGATGCAGGTTATTATTTTCAGACACTTTGTTCCAGCAAATAATACATGGAGATCAAAGCAACAATTTAGATTAATTAGCCCCAGATCTACTTAATGAATAACCTAGCTCTCATGTGTCAGAATTAGCTATGACTTTGCTGGTTTCTTCACTTTGAATACAATTTTAAAATCTGTGAAAGGTGCAAAAGCTTCCTTGTTTCACTACCAAAGTATTAGGAGACAAGCAAATTAACTAATTATCAGGATGGGTTTATAAATCTGAAAAAAATAAACTAAAAATGGCAGAGCAAATCATGGCAAAGGCAGAATATTTGTCCTCACTGCATCAAAGGCAAATCTCTGCCCTAATCAATAAAAACCGTGCTCAACAAGACTTTACTATGCCTTCAGCAACCTCAGCTAATCATTTTCTTTTTTCTATCCTGTTTCTACAAGCACCTAGATATGCACAAAGTTATCCCAGTCACTTCAGATCTGTGTACATAATTTAAACAGGAAGCCAGCTATTTATGCACTGTACAGTGCACTTGTTTAGATCAGTAAGTCTCACCCTCCACTCCCATTACCTTCTGTAGATTGCTCCATATGTTTCAGGTTTTAGGCTCCCTTGAGTAACACATCTTTTAATGGCTGCTTAATATGGAAGATTTGATATTACTTGATGTCTTTAAGATCTACCATAATATGGAATGGTTTTAAACTGAGACAGGGGAGGTTTAGGTTAGATCTTAGGAGGAAGTTTTTCACACAGAGGGTGGTGAGGCACTGGAACAGGTTGCCCAAGGGGGCTGTGGATGCCCCATGCCTGCAGGCATTCAAGGCCAGGCTGGATGTGGCTCTGGGCAGCCTGGTCTGCTGGTTGGTGACCCTGCACACAGCAGGGGGGTGAAAGTAGATGAGCATTGTGGTCCTTTTCAAACCAGGCCGTTCTGTGATCTTATGATATAACTATTAAAAGGAAATACATGACTAGATAGTATGCCTTCATTAGAGTTTACGTTAAGAGTGATTTCTCTTTTTATGAACTAACCTGGCCAGCACCAGACAAAGCTCTGACTTGAGAGAAGTTAAATCCTGAAGACTTCATCTTTTCCAAAATCATATCCAGAGCCTACAAGAACAAACAGAATCAAGAATGACAGTAACGAGATACCAAATTATGCATACTCACAGGCCTTGGGATTAAAGAGTAAACTCATGTCATCACTAGTAAGAGTTCATTGGCAGGTAATGAAAAATTAGCTAATGACAAATTAGCTAATGATTATGGATTTCAAGAAGCCGCATGCATTAATTTACTAAGTAAGAGTCCATAAAAGGAAAGTTGAATCACAAAGAGGAAAAAAAAAAATATTTAAACTAGTTGAATCACAAAGAACCATTCTTTGAAATCTAAATAAAAGGAAGATTTAATAAATTCCAATTCATTTAAAAGCAACTATTAAGAGAGCCAGTTACAAAACACAATTAACTTTTTCCATTCTTACTTTTGGAAATCTGACATTTTTAATGGTGTGCAACCTACAAGTCATCCTACAGGATGCTAAAAGGCAACCTCATTATCACCAACTCCAGCATCTGCTGAAAGTACATTTTTGCACTGAAGTACCTAGGTTACTTTTGCTCTTTTTCTATTTTACTAAAATTTAAAACCAAAAAATCTATTTGTTTTTATTTAAGCTGATTCAAATCTGCATTTCTCAGACTTTCTTGATAGATGGACCACCATAATGTTTCAAAATTTCCCAAGAAACCATTATCATATACTAATTTAATAAATAAACTGTTTATTATGTTTCTACAGACCACCTGCAACCAATTTACCAAATCTTCTTGTATTATCAGACAGAACTGCTGTTGATCACCAACTGGGAATTCTGTGACCTTTTAAATGTCTTTAACTATTCAAATCACAACAGCACTATGCAAGAGCAAGAGTTGCAGAAACTGCTTTCAAAACAGCAGACAATGTTATCTGTATTTTAAAATAAATGCCAGTCAAGATGATTGGGAATTACTAAATAAATTCCCTTCAACCACTTGCCATTTGAGACACGAATCAGTTAGCAAAGTTCAGTCTAAAAAGACAGTGCAACCTGGATGCTGCACAACCACAGTAAAGCTAGGCAAAGCTTCTTATAACAGAAAGGAAGCTGAACCACATACTACAAATACTCCCAGAAGGCTGACATAACAGCTCGTCCATACCTTGACCCACATTAGCACAGGAGAAGTGACTGTCAGTCGGTCACTGTGAACGTGGGCTCCACCTTGAGTCCTAAAAATGGAAAAATGGTATTTTCTTCATAAATTCAGTACATTTTTCCCCATCAAGCAAAGTTTTTCAAGTTTATTAATAACTAAAGAGAGCTTGCAGTGTTGTTTGGGGTTTTTCTTTTTTTGTTAGGAGCAAAGAAAAGATCAGAGTTTGAAAGCTGAAAAAGGCCAGCTCTTAGGAAACAGCATTAGAGAGAGACCCAATGCTAAAGCAAATAAATTGCAAGGAAGGACTTTTGTCCTGGTGTAAGATCTGTGATAGACTCTAGTGCTGATGCTGTTCATTGGCTCCACACAAGTAACAGTTATCTTTAAGTTTCCTAACTGTCACCATTAGTGACTTAAATCTAGAAGATGAAACTCAGTTTTTTGCTGTAAGCAAATGTACTTTACTGACACTTATGACCATAGCGGATGGAATTTGTAAATTCTTATCTATAAATCAGAATTTATACATTCTAATGTGACATTGGGAGTCACTGAATCTGTCTTCAAAAGCCTTTTAGAAGTTCCTCTCATGCAATTTATTCACTGTTATCACAGCATTCCATCCTGACACAGAGGCGGTGCTTACTTCTGTGTCCAAAAAGAAACAGCCACCTGTTAACAGCAAAAGTCCCAGATGAGAAAATATACATTGGTTAGTTTACACATAATGCCTTAGGGTGAGAGGGTCTTTTTATTTCCTCTTTCTCCTCTGGGGAATTCTTGCCATATTTACATATCAAGCAAGGTAAGGGCACAAACTTCACTTGTGAAGTACAAAACACAAATGCAGCGTAACTGCTTCCATACCTCTACACATACCAACGAGAGCAAAGCAGGCAACAGACCTGTCTCAATAGTCAAAGTTCTAAACGAGATTATGCAAGTAAAATACAAAAAAAAAACTTACTTAAATTCTGGAAGGTCTTTATCAAAATTAACATTATCCTCATAAATGACTCTCAGATGTTCATCAATAGCAATGACTTTCAGCTAGAAGAAATAAAACAGGATGTTAACAAAAACCGTCCAGCAACATAATTAGATAGCACTGGTAATTCATTTATAGTAACTCAATTCTCACAGATAAAAAGGGAAAGAAGATCACCCCAATCCATACAAATGACTATAAGTACAGACACAATTTTACATGAAACAAGTCATTGTGTGAATTTACAGCATGTCAGTTACCCAGCAATGTGTGTATTTGCTTGCATTTTCCCCTACACTTTCTCTCTCTCTTTAATTACACTAGAATAAGGTGCAAGCTAAAAGAAAAAACAGTAAATGAGATACACCATTCCCAGCTTGCACCACAGTAACCAATCCACCCAAGGAATACAGTATCTTAGGTTAAACACGTTGTATTTTCTGTGTGTTTTTCTTAATAGCCTCATCTTCAGTGATAGGGCTGGAGCACGTCCCCTATGAAGACATGCTGGGGGAGCTGGGCTTGTTCAGCCTGGAGGCTGCGGGGTGACCTCACTGCAGCCTTTCAGTACCTAAAAGGAGCCTATAAGCAGGAATGGAGTCAACTCCTCTAAAGGGTAGATAAAGGCAGGACAAGGGGAAATGCTTTTAAGTTGAAGGAGGGAAAATTTAGGTTGGATATCAGGGAGATCTTTACTATGAGAGCGGGGAGGTGTTGGAGCAGGCTGTCCAGAAAGGAGGATAAGGATGCCCCATCCCTGGAAGTGTTCAAGGCCAGGTTGGATGGGGCCCTGGGATAGCGTTAAATATGTAGGTTGGTCACCCTCCCTCTGTTTGGGGGGGGTTAGAGATTCATAATCCTTGAGGTCCCTTCTAAACCAAGCCATTCTGTGATCCCTTAATTCTGCAATATTATCCAAGAACTTTGCAGACCTTTAGAACACTTTGAGGATCTTCCCTCAACCCCTAAACAGGGAGTAAGCTGATCTCCACCTGGCAAAGCTCAGAAGACATTACACAGCTGCACACTTAGCTTCTGCAGCCAAGGGAAAGCAACATCCCAATCTTAAGTCCATCAGGCTGAGCTTTCTTGCAAGCACTGGCTAGGAGGTACCGCAGACTTTCCCACTCTAGCTTTTGTCAAGTTTAACTAGTGATGAAGAAAAACATTAACAGCCTCAAATAAAAAGCAAGAATGTAGTTCATGTCCTGCATTTTAACAAAGGAAAGAACGCAAGCTGCTGCTAAACGAACAGACTGAAAAAAAACTACAAAGATCGTCATCTCAAAGAGCTGTATTCAAGTAACAAAGCCATTGCATTTGGGGGTGGGTTATTTAATTTTAGCCATATTAATGTAGGGCCTCATTTATGCACTACCACCACTCATTACCAAGTTGGTGCACTGTGCTAGCTTTAACATGGCTCTGACCAGCTGCAGCTTAATTGGCTTTCTGCTTGCTATGCTCTCCCTTAAAAATAACCAACTTAATACGAGTAACCTGCATACGCCTCTTCAGCACAGCCATAACGAAGTGACTTACTTGCATACCTGCTAGTTAAACAAATTTGGGCAGTGTGGTTGACACCAGACTACGCTGACAATTCCAAAACTAAGGAATTCCAGAATTTCCAGCAATTGTAAAACCCTCAGCATTAAAGCGCACAGTTCTACCAACGCTGATTTGGCCACATGGGCCAAAGGACATGAGGCAGAGGAATGCAGCCCAGTTCAGACGTGCAGCTTCAAACAAACAGCAGCAGCACATCGCTAGAAGAGGTGGCCCAACAACCTTACGCAGGCAGATGAAGGCGTGCAGAAGGCTGGGCGGATATACAGCAGCCTGTGCTCTACAGCCAGCAAGAGGCAGTGTTCCCGACTCGGGAAGAGGAAGCGCCGAATTCCCGGGGAGCAGCACGGCACGGCCCGTTAAGCGCGAGCAGCCGGCTCCAGCCCGCAGGAAGCAGCGGCGGAGCCGCGTAAGGAAGGAGGGAAGGGAAGGAGGAAACCTGCGGTACCTGCTGCGTGCTGAAATCCCATCCCAAGAAGCAGGGGGCGGCCATGTCGAACCCCGCCGGGAGGGAAGCGGCGGCCTTAAGTCCGGCCTTCCCCCTGAACGGAGCTCCGCACTGCAGCGGCTGCTTAAAGGTGAACCCGAGTTAATGAGTGTTCGGCTGCGGCTGGGCGAGCAGCGTCAGGTTCTGTGAGTCTGCAATCAGGGAAGGTCCAGCTGGACAAAGCTGAAGCACCGATGTGTCTGAAAGCGAAGGCGTGTCGAATGGTTACCCGGTTTGTAGTAACGCTTCTTTAAATCACAGGATTGCAGCGGTTGGTGCTGCTGAGATTCCTCTGTCCACGAAGAGATCGGGCTGGGTGGATCTTACTGCATGTTTCCTATGAATAAGGACAGATATGGAATTGGAAGGCTTGAAACGCTCCCGTTTTCAATGTACAGTTGCTCACAAAAAAATAAAATAAAAAAATAAAAAATTGAAGTCACAGAATCACACACAAGCCTGTGTTGAAAAGGACCGCAGTGATCATCTCATTTGAACCTTCCTATGTGCAGGGCCACCAACCACCAGACCAGGCTGCCCAGGAAGTCAGCCCTAAAGAAAGCCACAGGAATGATGAATCGCTTCGGAAAGAGACAGCTGTGCAACTTTCAAAAGAAAGTGTTAGAACTGAAAAAGGAAGCTTTTTCAGGGAAAGTACTGAAAAAGGATTAATAAATTATATAAAGCAGTCTTACATCGTGAGAATGTAAGAATCAATTCCGTCCTTCAGCAGTGAGATCGTCCAGTGGTCAGACTGCTGTGTGAAATGCCTGGCTTTAAACAGCACAGAAAAGTTATAGGATTGGGATAACAGCCCTAGTGTTATCAGATCTTAAATTATTGTGGAAGAATGCATAAGGATTCCACAAAGACAGAATGGGAAAGTTAATTATGCTACTTTTACTGTTCAGGTCTTTCTAATGAAAATCAGGATGTTCTCAGAACCTCATTCTGTCATTCTTACACCTCATCCCAACAGGTCAGCATTCTCCCAGATTTAATTGCTTCTGTATGGAAAATTGACATTGCAGCTTTTCTTTCTGTGTTAAGGCTTACGCTGGCGGTCATTGCCATAACCTCTAAAATCATTTCTTGAAAGCAAACAAGGATTAGAGCTGTGTTGTTATCAGTGAAGTTGCATTCATGTGCCACTGATGTTTTGGTACTGACGAGTCCAAAATTTCCAGAGAGCATGGATAAAATGTCACCATCACAGATTAACAGTTTGAGGCACAGCAAAGATTAATCACTCACAGCACATATATACAGTAAAGGGAAAAGTAGGCTTTTTCCATTCTCCTATCAACCAGTTTCTGCAGTTTTGCACAGACCTGCTATAGCAAAGGAGCAATACTGCTATGCTTTAGGCCTCTAGCTGTTCTGCTAAATTTTAACTACTCAGCTAACTAATGATATTGATTTCCCCCCCAACCTAACTACTGTGCTTCAGTATCATCCCATCATCTGAAAGGTGCCAAAAAACTAGGGAACAGCGAGACCAGACCTTTGATACTAATTAGCATTACCATACTGACTGTAGTCCTGATGGATGTGGGCTACAAAATTGAATGGTAGGTGAAAGTATTTACACCTTCATAGGAGAAGTCCACAAGCTGCTTCAACGCTACCCATCCTTTTGCTTCCAGCAGATTTGGGGCCTCTACCTATTTAAGTAGCTAGACAGCCAAATATTCTCCATCCCAAACAAGTACTTCATATTGGTACATCAGCAAAGGTTGGCTCAGCACAAACAAGACAGCATTACACGTAGTGCATGTACACAGCTGATATCCCTACAACTAAGGCAGTCCATGTTAGACCTAGCATTGCTGGGCTTGGTGGCACAACTGTGCTTTTTCCCATAAGAAATCTTGTGGGTCTTTAATTAACCTCAGAAACATCAAAGTGTACTACGTTGGGTCAGATGAATTTCTGCCTATTTGCCAGCCAGTCTCACAGTCATATGCAATGCTGCTAATTAAATGGGAGAATGTTTACAGTTCTAAGTTCTATGTAACGTAACAATAATACTCCACCTTAAGGAAAAAAAAAACACCTCAGTGTGAGCACTAGAGCTGCCTTCTGGAAAGATTCCTGAACAACAATAATTCTCTAAAGGTCATCCCTTTTCTACTTAGCATCACCTGTATTCTGTTATCAGAATTTTCAGCAATGTTCAACCAAGTGCTGATAATTCAAAATACCACAGTATCATAAATTAAAATACAAAGTTGCTGTTCTTTGTAATGAGATGAACCTGTAACATCAAAAATGTTTTCCCTTCTGTAAATATGCACTTATCCACCAAAGTACTTTATGCTAACAATTGTGTTTATCCATACCTCCAGACACTGTAGAGAACCTCAGCTTTCACTCTGCCAGAATAAATACTTATTGTTTAAAAGTAATGTATCAGGACTGTTGTTATGCACTAATTTTAGTGATTGCACTGTGAATGAGCAAAAGTTTATAAGACAAAGATCCAGCAGAAGCCTCTTGCACGAGTTCCACTACAGGAAGCCCAAACCAGTTGTTACATTGAGACTGAAGACGTACCTTATTTAGGTGTAGAAATTATCTGCAGCCTTATTGCAGGATTTAGTTCTTGGCACATGTATACTCAAATTCCCAGGTGTTGGACTGCACTAACTAACTAAGGGCCATTAAGAGGCCACCCCTCATGAAGAACTGGCACAGGGTTTCAGACAATAGCCTATGAAAGCACAGGAACAGTGGGTACTTGCAAAGAATTTAAATGATGGCTTCGCTGCCCAATCTGTTGGTTATACTGCCAGTTTCATGTGTATTGGTCAGGTCAGAGCCTGCACTAAATCATGTACATAAAATCCTCCAATTTCATTTCTACTAATTTCAATAGAAATCTATTGAAAGCTCTCCACTTCAGTAGGCGCTGAATCAGGCACTGTGGAATTGCTTCTGGTTTTATATACTCTAGTTTTACGGATGTCATTTCACTGACTTCAGTTGTGCTACTAGTGATTATGAAGTGCAGAACAAATTCCTCATGAGATCTCTGCATGGAAGTGAAGGATGTTTCTGACTGGCAAATCATTTTTTTAGGACACTTCCCTCCTCTGTACAGATTTCAAGTCCACATTCACTCCACAATAGTGGTAGCACTCAACCATCCTCTTTGGAGGACTGTCTTAACCACAGTCATTTGCGAGGCTTATTCAATCTTACCCACCTGGCAGATTCCCTTCAAGAGGAATACTGAAGTGGCTTGTGTCCTAAAGCCCAAAAGCAAGATGTTGTCATCCTGATAAAACTTTTCATTAACAACAGATTAACCAGTTCTTTCGTGCTGTATCTGATTCTTATCACTCTTACAGATAAGTACATTTTATTGATTAAAAACAATCAAGGGTAAATTAATTCCTACTCAAACAATGCCTTAAGTGGAAAAAAAATAAGAGCCAAGCCTTGCACTTTTTAGCACTATCCAGCAAGAAGGAAAAATTATTTTACAATCAAGAATAAATCAAATTAATGTAGTTTACAAGTGGAAAAAATATCCAATCATTTTTAGATCTTATTTGAACTTGGAACATCTCCTTGAGTTCCTCCATGCAAGTGTTTTTTGTCTGTTGCAAGAACAAATAAATGTAAGTGGCTGGAGCCATTGTAACTCCATGGGCAGGAAACACCGAGAAACAGCTCATATAGAAAATATACTTACAGAACAATACCATAAAGATGAGCTCTGTTTATCAGTAACTGGAATTTAAGACATTCAAAAATCAAGGAAACTGCAGTGAATTTCCAAAATCCTCTCAAGACCTATTTGTGAAGGCAATTTACTTCCCTCTCGTCCACTTCTCATGGACAGTTTTATAATGTTAATACCATAGAATGATAAAATCGTATGAGTTGGAAGGGAGCCTTAAAGACCATATGGTCCAATTCCCCTGCAGCGAACAAGGACACCCACAGCAGCATAAGGTGCTCGGAGCCCCATCCAGCCTGACCTTGGCTACCTCCAAGACTAAAACTACCATTTTGTTTGTCATTCTGATTTAAGAAACCCTGTAACCAAGAAGAAAGGGAAACAGGAAGGAAAGATGGCAGGGTTCATTTGTTTACAATGTCTAAAATGTAAATAACTTCACTTTCTTCTTTGACTTGCCTCTGCACATTGTCACTCACAAGAGGGCATCTGAGGAGCTCTCAGTGGGCAACCAAAACAAAACCACAAAATGAACAGCAAATCCTGACCTTACGTTTTGGATGCTGACTGTTCAAACAAAGAGAGAGAGATTCCAGTCCTACTCATGCAGACAACCAACAGAGTAAAGACAGCTAACAGTGCAAAGCTTGGCATTTTAAATTACTTTCCATAGCAGTTAACGTTCCAAAGGAAAGTTAATTAATCCTCAGCACCAACAGAGTGAAGACAGAAGAACAGAGCTTTTTAAATGCTGCTTATGCCGGGCACAAAAAAAAATACCCCACATGCAGGACATCTGCTGCATTTAACCCCTCACCATCAGCGCAGTTTAATTTAATGTAGGTGAATCCATCTGAGCCAGGCTCTGATTCACTTGATCGAGCTGTAGGAGTCCCTGTTCACTGCAGGGGAGTTGGACCAGATAACCTTTAAAGGTCTCTTTCAACTCAAATGATTCGGTGATTCTATGAATCCAGTGATTTTGACCCTACTGCCTTTATCACCCACAAAAAGCAACCAAAAACCAAAACCCACAGTGACCGTGCAAAAGAATGGCATAGCACCAAGGTTTCAACACATGCAAAACCAGATATGAGAAGCAAAAGGTCAGCAGATAAAAGAAACATCTCGAGACCATTCTGAAATCTTGCACCATGGGCTTCTTCATGCCACTCTCATGGATGTGCAGAGAACACCAAAAAATGATCTTGCATCATTAGAGAGTGCTGTGCTCTGACTACTTAACCAGTCCCTAACTGCAGTGTGCCTGAAAGCTGTGCTCTGAGTAACAGAAAGATATGCACTCTTGTAAAAAACCTCATTAAAAAGTAAATGATTACTATTGATTCTGCTAATATTGTCTGGAGCACCAATAAGGGCAGCTACCCTGTTTCCATGTTTCTTATTTGTTACTAAATTTTCTAACAATCTAATAGTTTCCAACAATTCAAACTACGTGTAAGTAATACATGTATGTCTATAGAAAGCTACAGAAGGGGGATTATCATAGAATTACAGAATCACAGAATGGCCTGGGTTGAAAAGGACCACAATGCTCATCAGTTCCAACCCCCACTATGTGCAGGGTCACCAACCAGCAGCCCAGGCTGCCCAGAGCCACATCCAGCCTGGCCTTGAATGCCTGCAGG